GAGGTGGACAAGTGCCCCAAGACGTGCGAGAACTTTCTCAAGCTCTGCAAAGTCAAATACTACGCGCTCAATGCGTTCTTCAATGGTGCGCAGGGCTCCTTCGCGATTTCAGCCGGCTGAGTAGTTGCTGACCACTTATCAGTGTCCAAGGACTTTATCGCCCAGACCGGCGACCCGACCGCCTCTGGAACAGGCGGCGAGTCCTTCTCCTCCTACCTCCATTCACTCACCAATTCGCCACCTCCCCCACCGCCGCGATACTTCCCACCCGAGATCCGCACCTCCCTCAAGCACGTCATCAAGGGGACCGTCTCCATGGCCGTCGCCCCGACCGAGCCGGCGGGGTGCGGGTCCCAGTTCTTCATTACCCTCGCGGACAAGATCGAGTATCTCGACGGCAAGCACGCGGTGTTTGGGCATGTGATCGAGGGGCTCGACACGCTCGACAGGATCAACGATGCGTTCTTGGACAAAGAGGGGAGACCGCTCCAGGATATCAGGATACGTCACGTCGAGATTCTAGGTGAGCGCGGCGGCGTAACTTTCAGAGGCGGCTCTAGGTCCTGCGTCCAGGTCTGCGTTGTCTCGGGCCCTTGCGAACAGAGGCGGCGGGGGGACTTCTAGAGGCGACTCTACTTCCCCTTTCCATTTTTGCTTCTTATCTTCTGTTATTGCGAATCGAGACGGCGACATCTCTTCCAGAGGCTCCTCTAGGCCCTCCCTCCATCTCTGCACGTCCTTTCTTGTCCTTGCGAACAGAGGAGAGGCTAAGCGCCGACTCGAGGCAAGGCGAACCGTGCTGATCGTCTCGCGCAGAGGACCCATTCCCCGATCCTCCCAATATGATTCCCGAGCCTCCCTCTCCCATCCGCCCGCCAGATGCGGCGTCCCGCGACGTCGTCCGCATCTCCGACGAGGAAGACCCCCTGGCCCAGCTAGCAGAGGAGGAAGCCGAAGCACTACGACGACGCACCGCCGCGGCCTCGTCCGCTCTCACACTCGAGATGATCGGTGATATCCCCTTCGCGACGGTCCGCCCGCCCGAGAACATCCTGTTCGTGTGCAAGCTCAACCCCGTGACGGCGGATGAGGATCTGGAGCTCATCTTCTCGCGGTTCGGAAAGATCCTGAGCTGCGAGATTGTGAGGGATAAGAAATCGGGGGATAGTCTGCAGTATGCGTTCATCGAATTCGACGAGCGAGAGTCGGCAGAGCAGGTGAGCGAGGCGAGGCGCGACATCTTCCACTTAACTTCATTCCGATGTGGATGGTGTCTCGTGGAGCAGTTCCCAGATCCCCCGATTGATTGCGGCCCTTGACGTTCTGGCGACCTCATCTCCATGTTTGCGGGCTGTGCTGATGAGTCAGGCGTACTTCAAGATGCAGAACGTACTCGTGGACGACCGACGGATATGGGTCGACTTCTCCCAGTCCGTAGCCAAGATGAACGGATCGTTCGTTTCCACCGGTCCTGGGCGGGGGCGCGGGCGGGGCCGAGGAGGAGCGGGAGGGGGTCGCGGAGGGGGTCGGGGCGGGTTTGGAGCGCGGGATAACGGGTATGGAGCGAGGGCGGATGGTGGGGGCGGGTATGGCGGGGGGGGGGGGGGGGGGGGGGGGGGGGGGGGGGGGGGGGGGGGGGGGGGGAAGGGCTGGTGGAGAGTCGAGGTGGAGATAGGCGGGGGGAGGGATATGGCATGGTGTTCGATGAGCCGAGGAAGAGGAGTCGGAGCCCAAGGAGGGACCGGGAGAGGGATGATCGAAGGGAGAGGGACAGGGATAGAAGCAGGGAGCGGCATCGAGAGAGGGACAGAGACAGGGATAGGGATAGGGATAGGGACCGGCGTGATCGGGATAGGGAGAGGGATGATCGCAGAGATAGGGATAGGAGGGATGAGAGGGACAGGGACAGGGACAGGGACAGATATGATGAGAGAGACAGGAGACGGGATAGGTGAGGGTCGATAACAGGGCAAGGAAGAAGTATGAGCAGCACAAGTACGGTATGCTACAAAGTTGTCTTCGCCGCGTCCTTTTACAGTGATTGAAGGGCACGAGGTGACGTGACGAGTCAAGATTCTCGCGATGGCGAGATGCTGCTGTAGTAGAACTCTCAGTTTGCCGCTTCACGACTTTACCACCTATCCCTTCGCCTCTCCATCTCTCCAACAGTAGTCGTACGTACGAACAGCCTTCCGCGCACCCGCTCGTCTTCTCGCAGATGTGCGAGAGCTTGCGAGCAGGCGGAGCGGAGTGTTCAAGGACCTCGGAAATGCATTGTCTTCGATACTACAGTACAAATTCGCGCTCCATACACGAGACATTTGACAAGCGAGGGGGTACAACAAGTCGAATTCACAGCTACAGTGTATTCCACGCGATGCTGCTTGTACATACAGTAGAAGCGCCCTTCCCCTCGACCAACGCACAGAGAACCCTTGACTCCACGGCTCGACCGTGTTCCTCCCGCATGTGGTTTTATCCTCCTCGCGCGCCTCACCGGAAGCTTCACACTCGTCCTCCACCTTCACTCCTTTGCCCTAGTCGTTCCACATACAGGCCCCTTCACCCGTGCGCACAGGCAGCTTTGCTCCTCCCGTTTGTTTCCACAGCCTGGCCCTATTCCTCCGACACGTAGTCTCTCCCTCTCTGTGCGCCGCACAGGGAACCTCAGCCTTCCACTCTGTCTTCATCTCCAATTCGTCCCGCAAACATGTTCCGTCATTCGCCGCCGGTCAACCGTCATCCTCCCATATCCTCGCAGTCGTCAATACGGCCTGAGAAGAGAGACCGGACGAGAGCGCTTTGCCGCTCGTTCCGTGTCGATGGTCCCAAAATCGTCTCGCCGCGCTCTCCATTCCTCGACGCCGGTTTCCGGACGTGGATTCATCTGATAAGGGAAGTAAGGCAATCGAGTGCCGCTGCTTGGTCGATTGTCGTTCCTCTCGCCCGCGGTGCGATGTTCCGACCAAGTAGATCCCGACTCGCAAAGCTGGTTGATGATCTGCATCCTCCAATCCCGGTCGCTTTGGTCTCGAGGTCGATGTGTCCAAGCACGTTCCAAGCCGGGCGTGTCCAGCTCCATGCTGAGCCGCCCCACGACTTCTGGAGCGGTATCTCCGCCTCTCCTGCAGACGAGCTCGAGCTCTTGTCGGGCCGCCATGATCACGCGAATTCGATTGATATCCGCGGTCAAAGCTTGGATTTCGTCGTTTGTGAATTCGGTCCGCTTGGGATCAAGTAGATCCGTGCGTAGATTGTGAAGGGGCCGAGTCTCCACTACTTTCTCGATCGGGCGATCACTTGCAGACGGCGTGCCGAAAGGTACCCAAGGCTTGGGGTCGGGAAGTAGTCGAGACTTCGTGGTCGGTCCGAGCGGCTTCCCTTGGCTTCCCTCTCCAGTGGAGTCTCCCAGAATTGGGTCTGCCTCCTTCTTCAACGCCGATTCCGTGATTGCGTTGGAGGATGATCGCCACAGGGCGATACGGCGGAGCAATCCACCCGGATCGCGGTGTTGGAGGCGATGAGTGAGATTGAGTACCTCCAGCATTGCAAAGAACGGCCGCTTTTGGTTTGTCACGGAGGTCGTATCGGTGGACGAGGGCGCTGCTTGGGAGGGATCCAAACCGGCGGCTGCGTCCTTGCGTATCATCTCCACCACCTGCGCCGAGGGACCCGCGACAGCTCGCGGCTCCTCCGTCAGCTCTCGCGCCTCCTTGTTCATCTCGGTAATGGCTCGGAAGAATTTGTTGGGGTCGGTGTCGTACAGCGCCAAGAGCGCCTTCACCTGGATCTGGAACAGCTTCTCTTTCTCTTCCTCCAACTTGTCCATGTCGTCCAGATCCATCCCTTCGCTTCCTTCGCCATTGGGTACGTTGACGTAGTGCGACCAATTGAAGGGTGTCTTCGCAAGCTGGATGTAGCGAGGTGGTGATTCGACTTCGCCTAAAGCGTTTCGGTCCGCGATGACTCTGAGAAGCCGCTGGTGCAGCTCCAAGATGAAGTACTGCTGCTCTGCCGGGGAGTGTTCGCGCCCATCTCGACGGATACTCCTGTACGACTTGATGCGGCGGGGACGGGGAGGAGAGATGCTGTTTCTGGGAGGCTTGAATAGGCCAGGTCGGATGTCGTGTATGATGGAGATGTCAATTTCAGGTGTCGAAGAACCGCTGTCCTCCGATGAGGGCATCTTGGGACGAATCCGGAGGGATGGTGGCGAGGAACAGGGAGGATATTACCAAGGGGAATGGGGCGATGAGTCGGGGTGCTGAGCAGGATACACTGAAGAAGGACGAGAGAGCTGATCAGTATGCGATGCTTCGACCCCACAACGGTCCTCACCTGAGTGACTTGTTGCAACATGCATGGAAGTTGACAAGGAAAGCACCGCAGAGGATGTAACAACGGTACTCGCCAGAGAGAAGTCACTCGCGTAACAGACATATTACGTCAGCGGGGAGAAGGTGCGGAGTGCATTTCTGTCTTATCCCAGACAACCCTTCTCTTTCGTCTCCTCTTATTCTTGTCCCATTCGTCAATTTTCCACTTCCAGAGAAGCGATACCTGAGGTCAGCGCCCGTACCTCTTAGCCTGCCGTCAGCGTCGGTGAGTTTTGGGAAGTTTCCACGCCGTAGTCCCCCTCGAAACACCCAACCGCCGGACGCCCTCCCCCCTTCTCTCCCCGTCTGCGCGAGGCCATACCAAGCTATGGCCACATCACCAGCCCATTATACCCTCCACTAGGCCCTCAGAGGACCGCTCAAAGCTAACAAGAGTTGTGGCAGGCGATATACGTCGACTATCTGCCACAGAACGGGGGCCTTACGCAATCAAACGACTCCCTTCCTCCCCTCCTCCCCTCCTCCTCATCGCGAGGCCGTACCGAACCCATGGCAAGCCCGGCAGTCAAACAAGCCCCGCGCTAAACGACCAGAGGAAGCGTCGGAGCCTAAAGAAACAGCAGCAGGTGATAAACAAGTCCATTTAGCCCGTTTCGTCGATCGGCCCTCTTCGCTTAGTCGGTTAAAGCGAAGGTCTCATACTACTAATGTTTGAGGGAGAATCCTCCTGGCATCCTTAGCCCCCAGTTCGATTCTGGGAGAGGGCAGCTTTTTGCTCCCCTGCGAGGTCCGCGGACCTCCTGGGCACTCCCCGGGGCCGTCGGGAGCGAGACGAGTTCGAGTCGGACCGGGGGTGAAAAGGTTTTTGCTCCCGGGTGGAGTTTGCGAGTTTTTCGATGGGACAACGCGTGGCGGGGTGCGTGAGGGTGCGGGGGACGCGTGCGGGTGGTTGGGAGGGTGTCCGGGGTCGGGGGGAGGTGGTGGGGGCGAAAACGGGCGGTGAAAGCGGCGGGAAGGGGGGGGGGGGGGGAAGGGTCGAAGGAATGTGGCGATTGGGCGGGGTTTCAGGCCATGCACGGGTTTTCCGAGCGAGGATTCGGGTTCCCAGGGGTCCGTTACCCCTACGCCCGCACCTTCAGCGTGGGTCGGTATGCATGGAACCGCGTAATGCAGGTGAAAGTGACGATTGTGGCGGGATCGGTGAGAGGAGAGTGGATGGCCACAATCACGAGTGATAGGTCTAGTCGCAGTCGTCCCGCCTTGTGCGCCTCATCCGATCGCAGAATCCGCCTCACAGGAGTCCACCACCCCTCGTGGACCACTTAGGTCACACCTCTGCATGCATAGACCCGCACAATCCGCGCCGAAACGACCTAGATCCAAGAAGAATTGGCAGATGCCACATTTCGCGCGGCAGACCTTCGAGATTTGGTTCCGTCGGTCCAGCGTCACTAGACATACCTCTATCACGTCAATCCTACTGGCGTTTGACCTTGTTTTCGCCTCACACCGCTCCTCTCTCGCCGCGATGGACGCCGACCCGTGGGCCGATGCGCCCCCCTCGCCCCGACCGGCCGACCCGGCATCGCCAGTATCACCTGGAAGACCCGCTGCCACCGCGCCGAGCGGCTCTGCGACCTCTCCACTCGCCGAGTCGAGCACGGCACGAGTCGCCGAGACATCATCACCGTCGCCCCAAGCGGCACCGCCCTTGACCGCAGCAGAATCACCCAGACCATCCGCTTTGGGAGACAGCGCCGAAGCCGACGACGGGTTTGACGAGTTCGACGACTTTGACGAGCCGGCGGCAGGACCGAGCTCAGGTGGGGGTGCCGGGTTCGTCTCGGCGACAACGGCAGGCGAGGATGATGGGTTTGGCGATTTTGGGGATTTCGAGGAGGGGGACTTTGAGGAGGCTCAGGAGGAGCCTGCAGCGGGTGCCATGCTTGGTGGTCAGATTGCGCACGAGCCACAGCCGGTCGACGAGCGATGGGTGAGTGGGAAGGGATACGGTCATGACGCGGCGCCGGCTGACGCCTCTAGCAATCATTACGGCTCCGGCCTTTCCCACCTAGGGGGGAGCTGCTGTCCCAGCTGACAGACCTGCTGGCGCCGCTGTTCGCGTCAAGCAGTGGACCCGGGTCCATGTCGGATGAACCACCTCGGATGGTCGGCGGTCTCCGACAGATCATGGTGGACGAGTCGAGGTGGGTGATGCTTGGGCACGGACCCCTGCGACCCGCTGTGCTGTCGCTGAGAGCGTAGCCGAGACGCCTATGTGCAGCTCAACACCCCGCCCATGCTGAAACCGCTGGACTGGACGAGGTCGAGAGTGAGGAGGGAACACCTAATCTCGATGGGCGTGCCGGTCAATCTGGACGAGGTGGGTCGGCTCATCCTCACCTTCCTCGCGTGTCGAGTCGTCACCAAACTCGCGGTCAATGCTGATAAACCAGGTCGATTCGCATCGCCTATCCGCCCTGCCCCCGCTACGAATCACCACGTCCATGGGCCCTCCTCCCCCTCGTCCCCGACCAGTCTCGGCCGACCGCGCCGGCCGCGGCTCGCTCGACTCCAAGGGCAAACCCCGAGAGGTGAACAACGGCGCGGCGAGTGTCCCAGCGAGTGCGATTCCCAGCACCAATGGCGGGTTGAGCAAGTATGGGCTGGGAGAGCGACCAGCGATGGATCCGACGAGAGCAGAGGACCTGTGCGGGATCGACGAGGGTGAGTCACGGTGCGCATGACTGATCCGAAACACCGTGCTGAGGCCTTACAGCGCGGCTCTCCCTCTTGCCGATCGAGTCGCTCAAGACGATGCAAGCCGACCTCGTCGAGACCTCTGCACAAGCTTCCGCCCTGCTCGCGTGGCTGTTACAGCTCAAAGACGCCCAGACCCAAGACTCGCAGACATAGTGAGTCCACACCTGGATCCTGTCGGATCGTCCTGGCTGACAGACCCGCAGCAACGGGATGATCTCCGAGCTCATTGCCAATGCGGCAAAGGCAAAGTCGGCGCAGCAGACAGGTTCGGGGGGCGTGTTCAGAAGAGCATCGGGGAGACAGAGACCGCAGAGCACGAGCGGGAACGTCACTCCGAGGATAGGCAGTCCGGCGATGCGGTAGCGACGCATCATGAGACCATCGCACACATGCATATCATCTGCATTGGACCAGTCCGACGTCGCCCAACAATCCACTCCGAGCACCTCGTCAGAACAGGTCGTCAACACCCTGCGCACCCTGGTAGGACGCCGCGTCAGACGAGGCTCTGTCGCTGGAAAAACTTGTAGAGTCTCTGGCGTGGTCGCCAAACGGGTCATCAACGCTTGTGGAGTCTTCGGCGTGGTCGTCAAAGGTGTTGAAAGCCTGTTCGTCCGCGGGCCCCGACTGGGACGTTGCCTCGCCCCTTGGTCGGAATTTGATCTGGCGTGGCAAGAGTTCGCTGCGGACTCTGCTCAACAACGACCTTGAGGAGCTGCTCGAGGCGCTCGCCGAGACGTTTTCGGCCACTTGCCGGAGCGCCTTGATCCTTTGACCCTTACGTTTCGCGTATTCCTCGTCGACCGTTGCATCGCACGTCAGGTCTTCGGGGTTGCTGACGGTGACTGCATATGCAGGCGTCACGTCGGACCTCGCGTCGATGGTGATGTGGCTGAAGGGGTTGTACGTCCCAGAGCTGTCAACCAGCTCCTCCCAGTCGACAGAGGCTGCCAGGAGACTCTCGAAGAATTGCCCCTTGTTGTCTCTGCTGTCTGCGAGCAGGAACGTTGTCATCTCTGAGGGAAACTTCTGCTGGACCTTGTCAAGTGCCGACGAGACTCCATCAGCAAGTGCCATGGCCTTGGACAGCTCGTCCAGTGCCACCGCAAACTCCGAGTCGGCACGCACGGCGCCAGCCAACGTTTCGCCCAGCAAGATCGCCCGCTCTTGCTTCTTCAGGTCGGCCTGCAACACTTCCTGCTGGAACATCACTGTGACATTGTCGGCGTCCTTCCATTTGGCTGACGACTGCTCGAAAATCTCTGCCTTGTTTGCCTGGATGTCATGCCACCGAGTTGGCGCGTAATCACCATACGAGAGCCTTTCAACCTTGGAGTTGATATCTCGCTGGCAAGCGGATTTCCAGTAGGCGTAGCTGGCTGACGCGCCGGTTCTGCCCGCGACGTTCAACGCTAGCTCCCGCTTCCTGATCTTGTCCGCGAATGCGCGGACTTCGGACTCGCTCACATTGCGAGCAGAGTTGAGCGTGTAGTTGCTCATGGCGAGGCGAGAATCTTGCGTGGTGGATTGGGTAGTAAAGGAGAGGTTGAGCGAGGCAGGAGGCAAAAGCGGGCAGTATTTATCTCGCCACGGTGCGCTTTCCGCAGTGCAGCGGAGTGGACGACCAACATGGGGCCTTCCATGCGGCAGTATAATGTGTGTGCAAAGTAATGTCGGACTGGCTGAATTGCAAAGCCGTCGCCGCGCTGAGAAAGGAGTTCCGCGAAGCCGTCTTCTCAACCACAGTGACATCGAGACCTTCATGCAGAATGTACGAATACTCGGGCGGTCATGTACGAGGCATGGGAGACGGCAAAGAGGCGGCCAGCTACTATCATCGTCGTGGAAACATGGCTTGAACGAATCGGGAGCATGCGGGATCATGCGGGTTCGGTGACGGCGGCGAAGTTCAGAGACGACTGGTCGTCAAATGAGTAGCGATCGCCATCAGAGTACACGGAATCGTCATCACCCATGAGCTCCGCATCCTCTGACTGCTCCGCTGTACTGGACCTCGACTGAAAGGTGATGCGCGGTTCGCGAAATGGCCTGCTGCAGAACTTGCGAAGCGCGGTGAGGCTTGATGATTTACGCTCCGTGGTCCAAGCCTCAGCGATACTACGCAGAGTCTTGATCCGCCGCCCGGTTCGCTTAGCGTACTCCGCATCTGTACTCGCGACGAGAGGCACGCGTCGGCGTCGTCTTCGCTCACAACGATCTTGCGGTTGGGGGTCCGAGTGTCCGACCTCGCGTCCAGGGTGAGATGACTGAAAGGGTTGTACGTCTCTGGGCTGCCGATGAGTTGCATCCAGTCCACAGTCGCCGCGAGGAGACTCTCAAAGAAACGTCCTTTGTCGACCTTGGTGTCCGCTACGAGCATCGCCGTCAGCTCGTCAGGATGTTTCTCTTTCAGTAAGGCGAGCGTTGCCCCGGCTTTGGTCTCATCGTCGAGAGCCATCCACTTTGACAACTCGTCCACTGATCTCCCAAACTCGGAACCGGAATCCGCATATGTAGCGAGCTTCTTTCCCAACATTATCACTCGCTCTTGCTTGCTCAGGTCGGCTTCCAACTCCTGCTGTTTTTGCGCCAGAGCACCTGCATCGAGTTTCGCGTTTGAAGCTAGGAAGTCCTTGATGATGTCCTTCTTGTTGTCCTGGATATCGTGCCAGCGCTGCGGGCGATAATTCCCGGAAGACACTTTGAACACAATGTCATTGGCCACGCTCTGACACTGACTTTCCCAAGCGGAATGGCTGTAGTCCTGCGAGTAATAGCCCCCACCCAGCTGGAATGCGGCGATGTAATCGTGAACGTCTGTCAGCCAGCTCGAGCTGAAGCCATGGTGGCGCTCTTTACGGCATGACCCATGAGGACCGTGCAGTGGCGGTTTCATGGACAATAGAATGAGGTTACCTAGTCAGCTATTGTTCTCTGGTCAGTGAGGAAGCATAAGAGTAGCTCGAGCTGTAGTCGAGATCGATGCATTCCCCGCCAGTTCAAG